TGTGATTTGTAGAGTAGTCGCTATGTCGACTAAATGTAAGGACAACTTGATTTCCAAATTCAATCGCCTCTCAAACAAGAAACCGGACCCACACATTGAAAAGCTAGATATTAACAAAGTCGTAATTAATCGCAGTAACAGTCCTATTTCTGAAGGTTTGAAATCCGTTTTAGCTAAAGGACTAAACTTTGCAGTCACACCTAGACACATACCAGTTAATGATATAATTGCTCGAGTAGATGTAGCTCTCAAGGGCTTGAGTCACATCGCTGCAGACGTAGCAAGATCCGAAATCTCTGTAACCCTCAAAAACGCTAAGATGCCAGCTAGCAACATCAGCAAAGAGGAGCGTTTTGAATTAGCTCAATTAAAAAAGAGGGATGACATTGTCATCCTCTCAGCCGACAAAGGCAATGCCACTGTCATCATGGACAAAATAGAATACAACAACAAAATTCAAGAACTACTAAACGATGGCAGCTATACAAAAATAAAAAGAGACCCCACCAACAGCCTCGTCTCCAAAACCAACAACATCATTTCTGCTTCAACCGCATTAATTGATCAGACCAAACAGTTCTCGTTGAAACCTTCTGCAGCCAGACCACCAAGATTGTACGGCTTGCCAAAGATACATAAAGAAGATACACCTCTTCGTCCCATTGTCTCTACTATCAACTCCCCCACTTACAAACTGGCTCGTTTTTTGTCCGAAATCCTACGGCCTTTCACTGGAAAAACCACCTCTGCAGTACTAAACTCTACTGACCTGGTATCGACAATCAAGGGGATTGCCCTGTCCCCAGACGACCTGCTTGTCAGTTTTGATGTGGTTTCCTTGTTCACCAAGGTACCTGTGCCTGACACCATCGCAATCATTGAAGACTTGGTTCATCAAGGACTGAATGCTGGGGTACCCCCCCTGGTGAGACACTGCTTAACCAATACATACTTCACCTGGAATGGAACCTTCTACAAGCAAATTGAGGGCACCCCAATGGGCTCCCCCCTATCTCCGGTTGTAGCCAACATCTTCATGGAGAAATTTGAGACGGACGCCATCCAGACTGCCACTCTACGCCCGACCTTATGGAAGAGGTACGTAGACGACACTTTTGTCATCTGGCCACATGGCCGGCCTGCTCTAGACCAATTTCTCGACCACATCAATTCCATACACCCAGCCATCAGATTCACCATGGAAGTCGAAAATGATGGCAAGCTACCCTTTTTGGATGTCCTAATCAAAAGGAGACCTGATGGTTCAATGAGCCACTCTGTCTACAGGAAAGCCACCCACACGGATGCTTATCTAAAACCGGATTCCCACCACCATCCATCCCAGAAGAATTCCCTCATCAAGACTCTATATCATAGAGCCCAATGCATCTCCGACCATGAACACATGTCCAGTGAACTCAAACACGTACGCCAAGCTCTTAAGGCAAATGGTTACTCCGACTATACAATCCGCAAAGCCATCACTCCAACCATCAAGAAGGATCCTGTTGAGGAGCCTTTCAAGACCATCACCTTACCCTACATTGCTGGGGTCACAAAAAAGATCTCCAAAATCCTGATTAAACACAAGATCCAGGTCCGATTCAACACAGTACATAAAATCCGTGATCTGGTACCGTCTGTAAAAGATTTGGTTCCAGACATACAGTACCCTGGCGTCTACAAACTAAGTTGCCTCTGTGGTAGCAGTTACATTGGTGAAACCAAACGACATGTCTCGGACCGCATCCGTGAACATAAAGCTGACCTGAAACACGGTAGGACTAACACCTCAGCCGTGGCAGATCACTGTTACAACTCAGTGGGCTCACATGATATTGACTTCTCCAAGACAGAGGTTCTCTGCAAGCCATCTGGCTATCATGAGAGATTCGTTCATGAGGCGATCCACATATACAAACACAGAGACAATTTTAACCGAGAAGATGGATTCTGGCTCAGCAATCATTGGAAGGACGTAATAAACCATTTCGATACACATTAGGGTGTGTAGAATAATACATAGTGTGATATTAAATGTATAAGATATAGGTTGGTTTACAGCAATACAGTATATAATTTAATGTTGGGTTTATCTATGGCAGTATATAGTACGGTATATGCTCGTGTGATGTAAGAGAATAAGGTTTAGATGGAAGCATATTATAGAATTTTTACGAGGTAAAATTGTAATGTATTACTTGCTGTTAGTAACTCAGCTTATTATAGAGTATAGTAAGTATACTGATGGTGCGATGCAGTTTATACTTTAGTTTTTTATGTAGTTTATACTTTAGTTTTCTACGTGGTTGTTGAGTAACTGCAGCTACATATCATTAACATTCCTTTCCTTTGTTACTGCTAATCCCTGCACCCCCCTTGGTTGCTGCTGATCCTGCATAATGCATGGGCATAATATGACTTTGACACCCCCCCGCCCAACGCCTACGCATTTTCCATGAATATGCTAAATCCCTCTTCACATGCACATTCTTTTTGTTAAGGCGCTCTTCAACCCCCAATGCAGCTTATATATAAGCTCCTAGTTTGGTAGTGTCTCATTCTTCACCTGAAGACGGCTGCTTGCGTTGTAGCCGAAACGTCGTGAGAATTGTTTTATTATGTTTTATTTTTATTATTTTATTACTTCCCTTCTACGTGACTTTACCGAAAGAAACAAGAAGATGAATCCCTGCAGTCACGAAAGCTTTAAATCGATATTAAGTAAATATTTGACCTTCGGCCTAAGGTGCTCTGGTACCAAGTACACTTGAGAGCATCCTTGTGTTCGAACATGGTGTTTGTTATTGATATTCTGTGACACGTGTAGAATTCAAATTACATCTCACCATTCGGGTTCAGATCAGGGGGACCATTCTTCCCAAGCACGCCTCTACAGGTATCTCCATCGTTTCCCACGTGAGCGTTGAAATTGCCCAGTAAGACTGTGGAGTCATTAGGCGGCACTCTATCGAGCACTGCACCCACTCTATCCAAGAAGGCCGAATACTTTGAACTGCTGTTTGGTGCAAAGCACAGACAACAGTCTTCCTTTCTGAGACCCGAAGTCTCATTGAAGCGACCCTCTCATCCACTGGGACAAACTCTAACTGAACTGCACCCAGCCGGAGGCGTTTGAGTATCCCCATACCCGTTTAACGTGTAGGCTTTCGCGACCAATATCATCCATAAGAGGTTTTTTTGATTAGATTGCGTAAATATATAAATGTGTCATTAAAACCTGCCACCACCCGACACAACCAACTAGTAAGGGTTGTCACGTAGACAGAACATGGCAATTCATCATTAGTACAGCACACCGGTGTGTTGGAGAGCCAAGCCACAACATTTACAATCTGAGTACAACGTTTCACCCGCCTGGGGCCTCTCACCAAGGGTTACTCCGGAATAGGAGAGAGACCACCCCCGATCGCGAAGTTTGGTTCCAGTGACAATGCTGTGTGTGGAGGCGAGACCAACTATATCTAGTCGATACGTTTCCACCTCCACTAGCTCACGTTCCATCCCCCCCAGTGACGTGACATTCCACGTCCCATTGCCAAGGTCCAGTCCATTCAAGACCATCCCTTTCCCTGCCATACTCGTGTAGTGTAATAGTACTAGCAGCGGCAACTGCTGTGGACAAACAGTACACACGCAATGAGTATATACATGGGTGTGTCGGCAGGGTGGATAAACTAGGGCAAGGATCATGGAAGACCCCAATATGGAAGCCCCTGGAACCTGCTAGTGGGTTCGAGAAGGGAAGCGCGGCCAGGGCGGAGCCAGGCCACGCTGGGTAGCATTAAAGCAGCTGAGAGCGGGGGCTCAGGGTTGCCGGTCCTGGGAGTGAACGCGTCTCGTCATTGTAGTCGTCTTCGCCGCCTTCGTCGCTGCCGTCTTCGCTAGATATTGCGCGCTGGATAGTTGTTGGCTGTCTCGGTCAGCGCCATCAGCATTACATGGTCAGGGTTGTGTTTAGGCTAGGCTAGACGACTAGGGACAGTGCGAGGATGAACCCGTGAAGTGTGAAGGTGTTAATAAAGAAGGTGCCTCCTGGAAACCCTTGCCTCTGAACCACCAACACTACACTAGCATCACACCTGCTCCTCACCCTTCATCATGCAGACGGTGGGCCCACAGGATGTCGCCACATAGCCATTTTGGGCTGGGCCCAATGGGGTTACGTGGGTCACCCAGCCACCAGGTGCTTGCTGGTGAACACTACCCCAAGGCCTGGCTCCAGGGGGGTGTCCCGATATACCTTGTCCGGGTGAGGATCTCTGATTTTTATATTTCTGAACCATTCATGAGGGGCTTTTGTTTGGACCGTTATTTGTCTGGAACCTCCCCCAAGACCCGTTCGCCAAGGGAGACCCTAACAGGAGTATAATACTGCAGGCGACATAGCTGAGGGTCATAAATAGAGGTTTGTAATGTTCAGTATTTAGAGATGTTATTTCCATGAATGATGTTATACAAATACAATTATTATTACGGAAGGAATGTGGCTATTTAAACTTAATTCCAAATCACGACTAACATGAACTGAAATAACCTATTGCAATATTGTTTAGTGCTATTTCTTCAATAGCACCCAAATATATTGTTTCTTCTTTATACGATGTGTTTAAACATAAGCAACTGATTTTTGGAAGAGTTGATATCCAATTTATTTAGCCATTCAAGGTGTTGGCTGTTAGCTGCTGAATGTGATTTGGTGCTGCTGCTCAATGGTCGTCATGGGCAGTCTGCAGCTGACGATGTTACTCCTCCACTGTTTGTTCTACTCTGCAGTCGCAGGTGAAGCAAAATTCGACGTTCCCCACTAACTGCCCATTACCACCACAATACCACCACCAAGGTGGACCGATTTCTGTTTTACAGCCTCTCAGTCAGAACAGCGACCAAAGAAGCAGCTTAAGTCAATAATGATTTAATTTAAACTTGTCAAGAAATAATGTTTGATCGTGCAGAAAAGGTACTAAATATGTGCTTACCTTCAATTGACCCAAGGGACGTATCAGTCCTGTTACAAGCAGCATTATCGAAATAGTAGTTTATGTTTCCATGAATTATCTCCACAGTCACTTTTCCAAACATGATCTGAAGTGATCTCTGGTGTGGCTGACTCGGATCTTGATAAGGATCTGTAAATCAAAATAATTAATATTAGGTTTATTTGAAAGGCTGCTCTTTCTGGAGAGCCGTGGCGAGCGCTGCTCTTTTCTCCTTCACGGCGTTTCTCCTCCCACATAGTAGGCATCTTCAGGCAGTGTAGATTCAGTATGAGGTTTTGCTACATCTTATGTAAGTCCTGGTGACTCATCTCCTCTTGTGTTATAGATGTGTAGTGAGTCCAAATGAGTCGAAGACGTTGTCTTTAGGAGCAACACATTTATTAACTGTTAACACAACATACACCTAGGGTGGTGACCACCCGATTAACCATGCTAGAGCGTTAACACACTCTGTTATGCGATCCCAGTCTGGACCACAAGCTGGGTCCCGGACCGTGTGGCTGGAGGCTTCCCCAGCTTGACGTGGAACTCCTTGCCTCTCCAACACGAAGAACTCCGGGCCCCTCTCATGGACCCCCTTATATTCGTCCGGGCTGAGGCTAGCTCCGCCCCTCGCCCCGCCCACCTCGATCTTTCTCTCCCTTACCCGAAGGTTCTCGAAAGCTCTTCCCAGACCATGTGACCACCCTTTGGCCCCCTCCACTTGTGGCCCCATTCTGGTAATGACCCGTCACGTGGCCACAGGTCAACCAGAGTAGCATCACCCGATGTCAACCTGGCTGAGCTGATGCTCTCTCACTCCCTCAAGTGGGAGCCCGCACTGCACACAGCGCGTGGTGCCATCGCATGAACCAGCGCTCTCCCAAACCCCCACTAAGGTTGGTACTGCACCCCGTGTCCGGGGTGTATCCGATGATGGTGCATCTTCTGCCGTGGCCTCGCAGGCCCGGCACGACACAGTGACCTTCCCAGTCACTACATCACCCCCCCCCCCCCCCCCCCGTAGCACTCAGCTGTCCCGGCTACCAACTCCGCCTTAATTAAGCAACCGATGATACATATATAAACAACATAACGCAACATGTACTCCAACAGTAAAAGAACAACCAATTTCATATCCAAGCCCACCTGTACAAATCATACACCGAGATGAAAGGAGAAGAAAAAAAACTACACCGAACAAGCAACGAACCACAACCGCAACTTACGGAGTCCCCGCCAACATTTCCGACCCACAACGTGTAACAACGCTTGAGAGCTCGGTGGCGAGCAGGATCAGTCAAATACTCACCACGACGCACGCGAGCGCGACAACCTATGACGGCGTGGGAGTGTCCAATGTGGGGGGATCACACAACCCGATTCTTTTAGCGAGCACGCGATGCTGGGCCTCCAGGGGGGTTGGGCTCGTCCGCCCTGGAGGGCCAGGAGGGGGATGAGCAATAGACCCGATGAAGCCGGCTCCTCACGAAGAGCAGTAGGCCGGAGTGTCGGGTCATCCACGTCCGGAGCACGCGAGGCCGACACGTGCGGCCGCGTGCGAGGCATCAATTGCGCAGCGTCTGGGGGTGGGACAGAAACACTCTCCTGATGACCGTTGTCAATGGATGCATGCTTCAGCTCGTCGGGCACACCAGACACTTGGCCGCTGCGATGAAACAAACTCGCACGGCACGATAAACGGCTTCAGACGAGAGGGGTGCACAAACCAGCTCTGTTTACCCAACCGGATCTGGACACATTGCGGACGCACAACCCAAACAACATGAACCGGCCCTCTCCAGGATTGAAACAATTTAGGAGATGTACCCACTGGCACCTGTGGACAATGCAACCAGTCCCTGTCACCCAGCGACCAATCGCACAGGGAAGCACGGGCCCCCTTAAGAAGCTCGTTAGCCAACTGTCTGGCCTGGGAATTGACCTTAGAAACTTCCCGCGCCTCGGAGGGTTTTTCAAGAGTGAAACGAACGGAATCCAAAATTTATGACATTTTCACGGCGGGCGCGGCCTGCAACTGCACGTCGATGGGAGGATCATATTTCCGTCTATACATCAAAAAGAAGGGAGAGTAGCCGGTGGATGTGTGAGGGGCCATGCTATAGGCGGCAAGAACCGCAGGGACGTGCAAGTCCCAATCGAGCTATGACTCGCTGACCAGGTGACTCAACATTGAGGTCAGAGTCCTTTGTAGGCGTTCGACCATGCCATCCGTCTGCGGGTGGTACGGTGACGTGCGCACCTTCTTGCTTCCCAGCAAATCGCACACCTCCAGCAGCAGTTTGGAGAAGTTTTTACCTTGATCGGTCAAGAGGGGCTCGGGAGCACTCTTATCCAGAACATAACGATTATGGAACGCCTCAGTCAAAGTTACAGCCGATTGGTTTGGGAGTGGCCAGGCCATAGGCCAGCGTGAGAGGTACTCAATGCCCACGAGCAAGTATCTGTTCCCTCGCGTAGAAGTGGGAAACGGCCCGAGAATGTCCAGGGCAACTAGTTTGTTAATGCGCGACACCTGAATGGATTGCGGCGGAGGGAAACAAGGTTTCAACGGTGGTTTCCTCTGCGCACATTATACGCAACCTTTAAGTAAATTTTCAACGTCTGAGGCCATGGCCGGCCAGTAAAAATCCAATTTGAGCGTGGCCAATGTCTTTTACACCCCCAGATGTAATAAACGTTTATGCACAGCCCATATAACCTCGCCACGCAGGGCAGTGGGGACAATGACAGCATAACAGCCCAAACCTCTGGCCCAGTGCATGAGCAACCCGCCCTGCAGGACAACCGAGGCGACGCTTTGCAGAGCCAAGTTCCCGTCGGCTTGGCTGACTCGCCATCGCAACTTAAGCAAGGACGCATCCTCTGCCTGCAGGCGTCCCCATACCTCATAGTCCAAGCCAATTACAGCATCTCGCGTGGCAGGGACGTCTCCCGACCTGCTCATCGTGTCCGCGGCAGACGCAACGAGAGGGGGGGAGGTCAATTCGGCCGGTTTATAACGACCGGAACCCGAATAACATGCACACATCCCGCCCGCGGGCAATCGTGATAGAGCGTCGGCGTTTGTATGGCAAGAACCTCTGTGATACGTAACACGGAAGGAAAAATCCTGCAAGATTTCAAGCCAACGTGACAATTGGCTTGAGGGCTGGTTCACACACTGCGCGTATTGGAGCGCAGCGTGGTCAGAGCACACTTCGAATTGTCTACCGTACAAACAGGGCCGATATTGCTGCACAAAAACAACAATGGCAAGCAATTCCTGGCACTTAACGCATTACCGCTGCTCGGCCGGAGACAGCACCCTCCTACCATATGCAGCCACGTGCTCCACGTCATTGACAACCTGTGATAATACCGCACCAATGCCGGTATTACTGGCATCTGTATCCAAAACAAACAGTAACAAAAATTTGGGTAACGTAGGGGTGGGGCATTGACAAGTCCATCACGAATGGAGCAGAACACAGCTTCCTCCTCCTCTCCCCCAATGGCATTTTTGCCCCTTAGCTGTCAAGGCGTGGAGCGGTTTGCAATGGGCGCGAACCCGGCGACAAATTGGCGATAATATGAAGCAAAGCCGATAAAACTGTGCACCTCGCTCGCCGAGGTGGGGGTCGGCCAGGTCTGAACACACACAGTTTTCTCCGGGCCCGTCGTGATACCCGATTCACTATGTGGCCCAAATATCGAACACATTTCTGGAGGAGGTGACATTTATGTGGTTTAAATTTTAGGTCGGCCGCACGCATCTTAATGAAAAAGCCCCGCAGGCGATCCAAATTCTCATCAAACGTACGACCGAAGACAATAACATCGTCCAAATATATCAGGCACGAATCCCACTGGAGGCCCACCAAAACCAGCTCCATCAATCGCTGAAATGTGGCTGGCGTGGAGTGGAGCCCCATAGGGAGCCGGTTAAACTTCAACAACACTTGCGGCGTCCGAAAGGCCGTCTTGCGTTATGAAGCCTCATCAAGTGGCAGCTGCCAAAATCCCGATAGAAGGTCAAGAGTGGAAAAGAACTGTGCCCCCACTAAGGCGTCCAGCGAATCATCCATACAAGGCAAGGGGTATGCATCCATCGGAAATCAACACAAAATCGCAAGCTGCCATCGTGCTTCTTAACAAGCACGATCGGAGCACCCTATGGGCTGGTGGATGGTGAGATGATGTCTGCGGCCAACATCTCATAAACCGCCACACGAACATGTTCCTTTTCTGCTGGACTCAGGCGGTAGGGATTCTGCCGAATTGGGCCGGCATCGCCCATAACAATATGGTGGCTCAAGATGGACGTGCAACCAATATCAAATTGGCTTTTACTAAAAATGTCTGAAAATTCACGCAAGAGTGCTCTCAGCTTCCCCATTTGTCCGGCGGATAAATCACAATACTCAGAGCAAAGCTTGTCAATCCAACCCTCATCCGCGTCACAGGGCGCGCAAACCTGAACGCCGACCCCAACATTCCCCACAACGTCCTCCAGATGCACCAGTGATGCATGAGACAGCATGGTACCCTACTGAATGACCGTTGTGTCCGACCCAGAATTAAGAACCTGAATGATAGGCTCTTGGTCCTGGGACACCAACATCTGAGCTGCCACGAGCGACATCCCACGATTAAGCTTATTTGAGGGCCCCAACACGATACCATCTCCTGCAGCACACAAATCGAGCGGTTTACGTAATTGGAGGGGCACCAATATTTGCGCGCCGGGCGGAATCCGCATCATTCGGCACGCAAGTGCCTGCACCGTAGCACCGACGGCAATTCCAAACGGCCCTGATCCACACAAATCTTCAAGGGCATCTTGCCAAGAAAATCAGTCCCGAGTAAACATGGGACAGCCAGGGCCGCAGAAACCAAAACATGGCCCGATAATTTAACATCAGCGATACGCAACTCGGCTGTTATCCGACCGATAATACCCAATGATCCGCCGTTGGCGGCAAAACACGGCACATCCACAGTTCCGAAACAATGGTCGAGGACGCGCCGGTGTCAACGAGCATACGGATTTCGACCCCCTCAATGAACCCGAGCATGGCCGACGAACCCGCGGCCACTGCGACCACTCGGTGGGCCAGCTCCCACCACTGATCCGGTCGGAGCGGGCGCGCATCACGCACATATACCGACTCTCCCCGAACCCGCGCGCGACCCCGATGCAAATCGAACCCCCATGATGATTGAAGTGAGCCCCAGGGCCGAGTGTGGTGTGCACCGTGGCTCACCATAGGAAGCAGGGAGTCGTAGGAAGGCGGACGTCCCGGGGGCCGCCATTGAGGAACACGACAGCCTGATTGGACGTGCCCCAAGCAGGCCACAGTTGTAGCAGACGACCCGGCCACTCCTGGACTGGGATGATGAAGACCTTGCCCGCCCCCGGTTGCCGTCACCCCGATGATCGCCGCCCCGCTGGTGCAACGAGCATGCCGGAGCAGGCTCGCCATCCATGAGAGTCTCCGGCTCCATGGAGAACGCGGCGCATGCCACCAACACCCTGTCACGCTGCAGGGTTTGCTGCGCCTGGATGCACCTGGCGATCCTGAGGGAAGACACCTCGTCGTCCTCGGCGGGGAGCACAGTATGAAGGTCTTTCGCGACTCCCAGCGTCTTCTCGAGTACCAAGGCATCAAGTCCTTCGTGATATCTCTTAGGGAACGCGGCCTTCGCTAGCGCCAAAAGCACGCTACAGTAGGCGAGAGCCACCTCACCCTCCCGTTTTTGTCTTACAGCGAACTTCTGATGGGTGTTCAACGGAGGCTCAAAAACAGCCGCCATCTGGTCGAATGCTTGCGTGAGGGTTGGACCTCTCGGATGGCGGGATGGCAAGGTATGCCGCCAAGGCGTCGTCGTCGAGGGTGGCGGGCAGCCCTCTCATCGCCTCTGTCCATCCCGGCCATGTCGGTGTTAGTGAGAAATCGCCGCTTGAAGGCCACCCAGTCGCCGCTGGCGGCGACAAATTCGTTGATGATGGGCAGTCGTCGGCGGAGCAACGGGATGTCCGTCGGTGAAGACGGCTCTGCTTCAAGCTTGGCGGGCTCTGCGCTCCACGCCGGCGACAAAATGGGGGGTAAGTCGCTCCGTCCAGGCGACACCACCTCTCCCTCCTTCGCCGTCAAAGATAGGGGACGTAACTCGGCGAGGATCGTGGATGCCGCCTGGAGAAACTCCGCGAGACGAGCGCCTCCACCAACGGCGAGGCGTCGCACGCACTGACGGTGCTCTGCTCCGCTGGCATCGCCTCCGCTCCCTCTTCGGCGGCCGTGGGCAGAATCAGCTCCTCGTCGTCATCGTCGTCCGATGCTTTTGTACAAACTCTGCGACGCGTAGGCATGGCTGTCTACCGCTTGCTGTAGTTAAGCAAGTTGGCCACTTCTGACACCAGTTGTAGTGAGTCCAACTGAGTCGCAGACGTTGTCTTTAGGAGCAGCACATTTATTAACTGTTAACACAACATACACCTGGGGTGGTGACCACCCGACTAACCACGCTACGGCGTTAACACACTCTGTTACGCGATCCCGGTCCGGACCACAAGCTATTCCTCACCCTGGTCTTCAAAGTTTTGCACGGTCTTGCCCCAACCCTACCTCTCTTCTCTCATTTCTTTATATGTCCCTTCATGCTCCGTTTGATCTCAATATTCCCGTTTTATTGCTGTACCATCACCTCCTTGCGCCCAGTCTTGCTTTCGTTCTTTCTCTCTTCTTGCCTCGTTGCACTGGAACAAACTCCCACTCCACATCAGACTCTCAGCCTCGCTTTCCACCTTTCACTCGGCCCTCAAGTCCTTTCTCTTCTCTATTGCTTTTTCTTTTCCACTGCCTCCACCCCTACCGGTTCTTTCACCCACCTCTAACCTACTCCCAGGCCCCCAGTCAACTTCCTCCAACGACCCTAATTCCTGAATCGGCTCCGACGTCTTGCTATGTGCACCTAACCACATCTCTCCCCCAGCCCTACACTGTGCTCCTCCATCAGCTCAACTATCTGGCCACCAGGCCTCTGCCCCTACCACCCTTCATCTACCATCATCCATGCCCATTTCACCACTTCACGCATGTGCCCCATACCCCACCATCACATTCCACCTAATTCTGCCTTACCTACCCCAGCAACATCAGCTCCATTCATCGCCCCTGTACCTCCATCCATTCTGTCACCTCCTTTACTGAACGCCGTCGGCTTACATTTTTAAGCGCCCTGGAAAGGGTGCGATAAAATCCGAAATAGAATAGAATACAGTACACATCTACAACATAGGAGATTAGGAATCAATAATTATCACACATTCCTATGAGTCACCAGGACTTATATAAGTAGCAAAACTCTCAGCTGGATGCACATTGCCTGAAGACTCCTCCAACATGGGAGGAGCAACACCGCAAAGGAGAAAGGAGCAGCACTCGCCACGGCTAGCAGCCACTTAAGATAGTTTTTCATTTATCGAGCCATGAAAACCTACAACAGTACATCCACTTTCTCTTTGTTAAGTACATTTTATAACTCCGCCATTTCCATCGGCTTACCATCTTTTTTTAGAGTAGAAACCTCACTTTCTCGAACCATTTCCCAATCTTGTGCCTTCCCTTTAGCAAATTCTCCACTCAAGTCTCTTTCCCCTTCTCCGAATCTTTGTTGTACTCCCCCATGTTTTCTGTCTTCCTTTCTTGTGTTCAGTTCTTTTTGGAAGGCCTAACGATGTAAAGATGAATGCAATGTGTTTAGCAAATACAGAATATGAATGCGTTTATGAAAAAGAAACAGTATCAATCCATGAAGACGTATATGTAATGTAAAAAAACGATTTATTCCTAAGGATATTAGACATCCTTGGACAACATGTTTGTAGAACATGGTGGTGACATGGAAATCATAAACACCATAACCGCAACGAGGGGGCGCAACTACACTAGGATAGCTATGATGATATGGCTTGCTAGATGGTGATTGGAAGGTTTGAAAGAGGGAGAAGGTGGGGATATTTGACAGAGGCAAGGAGGAGCTGAAGACTGGGGGCACAGGTAGTGCATTGGCCAGTCATTTCAGTCAACCCATGATACCTTGGTCTGTCCTGTGACTTGTCAGCGGGCGTTCGACACTTCACGTGGCCTTAAAGTTGCCCTAGCCTGGCACAAGCGCCGTTCTGACGTGACCGCCATTTAGTGGCAAATGGCGTTGTTGTTGAACGGTAGCAAAGGGATTGAAGGGATGGATGGAGATTGGAGCGGGGGAGGAAGATAAGAGGATAAAAGGAGAGAGTGGGGAAGAGGAGGAAGGGGCGCCTTATGAGAGTAAAAGCAAGGGAGTTGGGTTGGCTGGTGGTGGGCACTGGATGTTGTTACTGCTGAGGACAATACACTTTATCCAAGAAGTGCCATATTTGGGGTCCACTGCATATTTATTTCAAGTTTTTACTCCCTAGTACAGGTGGTTGTTGAATTTAACCCCAGGATCTCAGCAGTACTGCCTTTGCCTTTTTAAAAATTAATTTATCCCAACATCATTCATTTCCATAATCAACGATTTTTTGGGTTTAGATCGCGTTTATTTATAAATGTGTCGTAACCCTCCACCACCCGACACGGTCAATCAGTAAAAATGTGTCACGTTGACAAAGACAAATAGTTCACTGCTTTAGCCCACCGGTGTGTTGAAGCAACAACATTTACAATTTGAGTACGACGTTTCGCTGGTAATTGCAATCAGCATCATCGGGCAATTCGCCAGAATGCCCGATGATGCTGATTGCAATTACCAGCGAAACGTCGTACTCAAATTGTAAATGTTGTTGCTTCAACACACCGGTGGGCTAAAGCAGTGAACTATTTGTCTTTGTCAACGTGACACATTTTTACTGATTGGCCGTGTCGGGTGGTGGAGGGTTACGACACATTTATAAATAAACGCGATCTAAACCCAAAAAATCGTTGATTATGAATAACATTGGTCGCGAAAGCCTACGTGTTAAACTGATCATTCATTTCGTCTCAACCAAAGGGGTGGCATTGCTGCCAATTCACAGGTCACTGCTAAAAGGTGGAAGTTGTCTGAAGTCAGCTACTATGTCCAGCCAAAACGCAATTTCTCCAATAATTGGATTCACGATTACTTTATGGATCCTACTGCAAAACAAGTATCAGCGATGCAGGACCTTATGTGGTGCTCTTCACAGTAAACACTGTCTCCTCCCTCAGTTGCTTTGTCCAAGGAGTGCATTTGTTATACTGGTGCCATGTGCAGCTGACAATTTGGAAACCAGCACTATTTTGGTGCGATCTTTCTGTTCTTCTTTCATTGTAAGTAAGGCTGTGTAATTGCTTCACCCTCTTACGTGTTTTTTTTACTTCAGGATCTGTCATGCTGCAGAGACAAGACTATTGTCTTCACTTTCCTCGTGCAGTTGACTCATCCTGTCAAGTGTCCTGTTACAAGATTTCAACCTTTATTCTATAACTATAGAGCACCTCCACTCAGGGCACGTGACATATATGTAGTGCCATTGTTAGGCTGTATGTACATGACCATTGAGTGTTACCTGCAGTAGCGGACATGTGTCAACAGGGGGTGGTAAACAGGCTAGGTGGGATGAGTCGGGCCGTTGGGCCAATAGGGACCCCAGAACCCAAGAGGGAGGTTGGGGGGATGTCGTCATGTTCCAGGGCCCCCTAGAGAGTTCCAGAAGGAAGGTGTGGCTAGGGGCGGAGAGACTCTGGAACGAGTAAAAAAGCCTGACCCCTGAACGGGTCCGGCAGTCCTCATCCACCTGAAGACCTGAGAGCCACTCTGAAGACCTGAAGCGAAGAGCCCAAAGGGCAGAACCCGAACCCTTGGCTCCGGTCGGGTTCCGAGCTTAACCAGTATAGGGTTAGCGCTAATGTTGGGTTTGTCTATGGCAGTATATAGTACGGTGTAGACTCGTGTGATGTAAGAGAATAAAGTTTAGATGGAAGCATATTATATAATTTTTACGACGTAGAATTGTAATGTATTACTTACTGTTAGTAACTCAGCTTATTGTAGAGTATAGTTAGTATACTGATGATACTATGTAGTTTATACTTTAGTTGTTTACGTGTTGGTTTTAATTACTGCAGCTACATACTATTAACACTCCTTCCCTTTATTAATGCTACCCCTCCCTTTGATGCTGCTAATCCTGCATAATGCACAGGCATAATTAGTACTATTCACATACCTGCATTTCCCATATCCCCTCCCTTTGATACTGCTAATCCTGCATAATGCACGGGCATATGTAGTACTAATCACATTCCTGCATTTCCCATAAATATGCTAAATTCCTCTTGATATGCAAATTCTTTTGTCGAAGCGCCCTTTCCCCCCCTTCCAACCCAGCTTATATATATGCTCCAAGCTCGTGTGCTGTTTCATTCAGACGCTGTCTCCCCGACAGACCTGGTTTTCACCTGAGGACGGCTGCTTGCGTTGTGGCCAAAACGTCGTGAGAATTATTTTATTATGTTTTATTTTCATTATTTTATTACTTCCCTTCTATGGGCAGTGTTGAGTGGATAGGCAGTGTTAATCTTTGGGCAGTGTTGAGTCTATGGACAGTGTTGAGTCTATGGACAGTGGCTGAGTCTATGGGAAATGTTGAATCTACGTGCAGTGTTAGTCTATGGGCAGTGTTGGGTCTATGGGCAATGTTGAGTCTATGGACAGTTGAGTCTATGGGAAATGTTGAATCTACGTGCAGTGTTAGTCTATGGGCCGTGTTGGGTCTATGGGAAATGTTGAGTTTATGGGCAGTGTTGAGTCTATAGGCAGTGTTAATCTTTGGGCAGTGTTGAGTCTATAGGCAGTGTTAATCTTTGGGCAGTGTTGGGTCTTTAGGCAGTGTTGAGTCAATGGGCAGTGTTGCGTCTATGGGCAGTGTTAGTCTATGGGCAGTGTTGAGTCTATGGGAAGTGTTGAATCTACGGGCAGTGTTAGTCTATGGGCAGTGTTGAGTCTATGGACAGTGTTGAGTCTATGGGCAGTGTTGACACACAATCTCCACACTCAACATAGCACACACCAATCACACACATGGGAATAAGAGATGTGGATTCAGAAGGGGGGTGGAGATAGAGGGTTTAAAAGGGGCTGTGAAACACGTGTTCAGGGTTGATTTGAGGAACGAGTGTGGCTGTGGTTTGAAGAATAAAGAAGTGCTTAACCAGTCTCCGACTCCTCTTCATCTGGTGGCAGCAGTGGAATGTCTCACCTCAGCTGACGGAAGATCCCAAGGGGGGAGATTCAGCCAGAAGACGCTCTAGGTGCCCGGGACGAGAATTGCTCGGAAACAGAACCGCCGAATCGGAATTCTTCCCTTGGCTCATCGGCGGGATCCAAGGCAGCTGCTCACCCCATGTGGGCACCTTCCTCCACCAACCCGGCGGTGCAGACCCAGCGCCACTGCTGCAGATCATCCTCCAGGGATCAGAGGATGGATCAGCTGCTGGAGGCAGTAACTGTGCTGTTTCGCCAGCTGAGTCATGAGGTCAGAACGATCGGGGGGAACTTCAGCTGCTTTGCTTCCCCAGTGAGGAGATGAGAGCCATGGTCAGCCTTCCAGACCCATCACTCCGCAGCAGCTATCAGGGGATGGAGCAGCACCAGCGACACCACCGACCGTGCGTCCTACGCAGGACCCGGGAGAAAACCCTGGCCTGTCCTCCCGAAATCCTCCGACAGCAGCAGCAACCGGGGGACGTGAACGACCAGAGTGCAGCGGAGAGCAGCTGGCCAGGCAGGTGGCAACGGCACAGGGCGGGAGCAGGATTCAGCCCGAAACTCAGCCCGAAAACTCAGCCGAGGCAGCCCGTGGAGGGAGGACCAGGATAGAGCCATCAGCTGGGCGAGATACATAGGTTCGCGTCCAGATCGGAAGAATGGCGTGCTTTCATCCACCGGTTCGAGATGGCCGCCCAGGCACTGAAGTGGACGGAGGAACAAGCCCTGACAATACTGCCCACTGTGTTGGACGACCCCGCACTGGCGGTGTTCGACCAGATTCCGCCTGCAAAAAGAGGATCCCTGCAGGGGGCCTACAAGGAGATGGTGGAGGTGTTCGGCCCTCCGTCCGGGGCACGACAAAAGTTTAAAAACTGCCAGCGGAAAGTGTCCGAATCGCTCCTGGTCTTCTGAAAATAATTATTGACGCTGGCAGAAGCCGCATTCCCGCGGCTCAATCAGCCGGGCCTGGATTCGCTAGTGGCAGAGCGGCTCCTTGCCATGGCACAGAAGGCGGAAGTGATGCTGCCGGTGGTGGAGGAGGAAGCCCTCACCTTGCTATGGGTCGCATGACACCTCTGTGCCTATGAATAAATGGCGGGACCCGCGTGAAGTGTGGCACAAGTCGCAGGGAATCTCGGCGACGTCGAGGGGCTGCCATGGCTCTGAACCAGACACGCGCCGCCGGCGGAGGAGGAAGAGGGAGAGATGGTGGCGGCCCCGCGGTGGAATCCGAGGATCCCGCGAGAAGCAGAGCACCGACCCCGGTGCTGGGCACCTTGTGAGGCAGGAGAGCATCCTCTGGTCACGGGAGAAGTCATCTGCCATTGCTGTGGTCGCGAGGGATACATCGCCTGCGGATGCCGCGCAGGACGAGTGCACCGGGGACGATCAGCCGGGATCGTCAGTTTTGGTCCACGGCCGTTCTTACTCAGGTGAGTGCTGACACCTCGGACACCCGGCTAGAACCATCCACCCCATGTTCACCCCATCACGCATCTCATTCCTCGGGGGCGGCGGTTAGGATTCCCACTGCCAGTCCGGGCCCGTGGACGGACACAATTACTAAATGGCGTCGTTTAGTCAGAAGGGTGGTGGCGGCCAGGGCTGGGACGTCTGTGTTGGTAGGCTCGGTGGCAGGGATTAGCGTCCGTGTGTTGGTTCACATGGGTGCGTCGGCCAGCATCATATCCCTGTGCGTCTTTGACTTGTTACCAGAGGGATAGTGTCATTTTGTGCCAGTTCAGGCGAAGTACATAGCCGCGAATGGGGGAAGTTTGGGGATCATAGGCCAAGTGGTAGTGCCGGTCCGCATCGAGGAGCTGGAGGTATGGGCACCGGTACTGGTCTCAAGTGTGCTCATGGTTCCCTGCTTGCTGGGCACGGATCTGTTGAGTCACATGCCCCTTAATATTCTGACGGATGAAGGCTGCGTCGAAACCCCGTCGGGGGGTCGGTTGTATATCTTGCGTCCAGCCGGGGAATGGAAGCAGCTTCCGTGAGTTCAGACGCTGGTAGGGACTATGGTCTCGATCCCACTTGGTGTACAGGCCTTGGTGCCGCTTCGATATCGCACCCCTCTTGTCACTTCCCGGTCGGATGCGCCGTTCATTGTTTCCGTGGTGCCGTCGGTGGTTGGTCGCCATTGCTTAGCATCAGCTGACACGCTCGTGCGCAGGAATCAGCCACTGTTCGTGCAGGGCCATAACAAGGCTGATACACCCATTACAGTTCAGGAAGGGACCTTGTTTGTAAATGTCAGTCCCATGCATTCGGACCCTGAGGCGGAGACCATCAACAATTTGCATTAGGATGGTACATCGGTTGGCGCAGGGGATATGTCATAGATTAACGCACTCCTGGCGTAGAACACAGATCTGTCGGCAAAGGAGTCAAGGGAGCTCAGGACTTTGTTGTGTGACTTCGCAGACGTGTTCAGTAAGGGTCTCTACGATGTTGGTCGCACAACGCTGATGGAGCACCATATTAATACGGGCGATGCGCCACACATTTGGCAGAATGCCTATAGGATGGGTCCGAGCGAGAAGGAGCATGTGCAGCGGGCAGTACAGGAGATAATGGAGTCTGACATCATATTGCCATCTACGAATCCATGGGGGACGCCGGTTGTATTAATAAAAAAATTGGATGGATCCTTGCGGTTTTGTGTAGTATTCAGGCGGCTGAACAAAGTTACCTTGGTGGACGCCTACCCGCTCCCACGCATAGATAACTAATTGGATGCGCTCGGAGGAGCAAAACTTTTCTTCACACTAGACATTTTGGTGGCATTCTGGCAGTTACCATTAGATGCTGAATCCAGACTGATAACGGCTTACAGAATGCCTCAAGGTCTGTTTCATTTCAACGGTTTACCTATGGGTTTACAAACGGCTCCCACCATTTTCCAGTGATTGATGGAGTTGGTACTTGCGGGGTTGCAGTGGGAGTCGTGTCTCATCTATCTGGACCATGTAATCGTATTCGCTCGCACATTCGAGGAGCAAACCGATTGTGACAGGTATTTTCGATAATTTGTGATGCAAACCTCAAGTTAAAACCCTTCAAGTGTCATCTAGTTCGCTCCTCAGTAAAATACTTGGGTCATGTCGTTAATGCGTTGGGGGTTGCAACAGATCCTGACAAAATGGCGTGTGTCCGTGATTGGCAACACCCACGTCCGTGCCTGACGTCCGCAGATTCGTGGAGTTTGTGGCCTATTACTGCCATTTTGTCGAGAACTTTGCTACCATCACTAAGCCCTTCCGTGCGCTTACGGCGAAGGGACAGTCGTTTCATTGGGGCCAGGCCGAGACCGACGCATGCTTAACACTGCGCCAGCATCTGACAGAAGCGCCTCCCCTAGCATACCCCGGTTTTTAGATTCCCTTCCTGCTGGATACGGACGCTAGCGACGTGGGCATCGGGGCCATTCTCTCCCAGATTCAGGAGGGTAGAGAGGTTGTCATTGCCTGCAAAAGTCATGTCTTGTCGCAGGCCGAGCAGCAGTATTGCATTACGCACTGCGAGCTGCTTGTTTAACGAAGGTGCGGACGTCCCCTTACCACCCACAAACGGACGGGATGGTAGAATACTTTAACCGCACGATCTCGGGGATGCTGTGTCACTTGGCGAATGACCAGCAGACAGGTTTTGACAGCCGATCGCTCGACGCCGCATGCATCAACGGGATACTCACCCTTCTTCTTGATGTATGGGCGCAAGCCGAGCCTTCCAATTGAGGCACAGTTGCGTCCTGTCTTGCCGCGGTCGGGAGATTGGCCAGCTGCGTTCCGCCACTCGCTCAAGTTTTTGCGCGAGGCCGCGAAGCAGCATCCGCATCTGTGCAGGCTACAAACGAGCGCCTGCGGTCTAAGCTGCCAGTTGCTGATCCCTTTGCGGTGAGTGACCTGGCTTTGCTGCACTGCCCGCAGGTACCGTTATGTAGTGTCAGCGAAGCTGCACCGGCCCTGGCAGGGCCCTGTCACAGTGGTACAGGTATTGCAACCTCAATTAGTTCGAATTCAGTTGGGGAAACAAAGGTGGTACGTTCACCTCTCTAGGCTAAAATGTTACATCGCGGCCGAGCCGCTCCTACAAGCATCGTCACCTTCATCACCTTCATCGTCACTTCGACCGGGTGGGAGGAGGTTGTCACACTCACGGCTGGCTACTGTCCATCCTGCAGGAGTACAGGTGACCAGAACGCCAGCACCTGATCCATCAGCGTCCGTGGCTGAAGACGCAACCGCAGAATCGGCCAAGGACTTGGCCACAGGACGGGGCCCCTTAACCCGATCACGCCGCCTCGTCACAGCTGAGGAAACGGTCATCCCTGGAACCCTGTTGTGTTCGGTCAAGGGGTCGGATCGTGGGGGAAGTTGGCGACAGAGGCGGTGCACTTGTTGACAAGGGGACAGGGATGGAATTGTGTTGTGTTACTTTTGCGTTTATTGCACATTTTGATTTGTTTGTTGATATTACATGCGCCTGGCCACAGTTGGGTTTGACCGGCCAAGGCGCACCGTTGTTCAAGCCGAGGACGACTCTGTCTCAAAGAGGGGGGGGTGGGTAATGTAAGGGATGTCCGAGCAATCTTCACACACTCGCACCACACAGACACAATCTCCGCACTCAACATAGCACACACCAATCATACGCATGGGAATACACTAGACGGGTGTCAAGGGTTAAAAGGCACTGACATCACACGCACACGGCGCGAGACACAGATATGTGGATTTGGAAGGGGGGCAGAGATAGGGGGTTTAAAAGGGGCTGTGAATCACGTGTTCGGGGTTGGTTTGAGGAACGAGTGTGGCTGTGGTTTGAAGAATAAAGAAGTGCTTAACCAGTTTCCGACTCCTCTTCAAGTCGATGGGCAGTGCTGCTTAAAGTAGAGGAGAAGTTGATTCCAGTGGAGGGGTGCAAGAAGGGAGAAGGACCGAAAACGGGGTTGGGCACAGGGAGGAGGGACAGAGAGACAGAAGATTGGGAATGAAGAGAAGGAGAGAGAACATTAGCACGGTTGGCTACGTACGGTGCAAAAGACGTTCGACATACAAGGAGATGAGAGAGGCAAGATAATGTAGGGAAAGCCCACAGAGATATGTAAAGACTTGCAGCAGACATTTAAAAAGACGACGGTAGTTAACGAGACGCCAGTAGAGAAGACGGAGGGAGAGGTGAAGAGGTTTAGTCGTTTAGCATTCCAGCACGCTTATAACGACAACAACTTTACATAACGCCAGCATCACACTGTTCTCTAAGGGAATCTTCATCTCAAGTACTACAATACTTGCAGTCAACTGACTTCAGTGGATGGATAAGAATGGACAAATGAAGAAGAGATTCATATACCACATCAGGGCTCAGCCCCCATATACTGCACAGGGTAGCATCGTAAACTTTGCCTGTTTGATCTCCTTTTCCGTACAACTTGGGCATTCACGGGGCCTTTTTACCATCCTCAAAGTAAGAAAAATAAAAATAAGTTTTACCCTTTCTTGATTCCTTGCAAAAGGTATCTATTTAGTATGAAAAAATAAGAATAGGTTTTACCCTTTCTGGCAATAAAACAGGTGTTACGATGTTCAAACACCAAATATAAACCTTTTGCAAGGAATCAAGTTCGCGTTAACCACACATACTTGTGGTGAACATGCAAACAAAAATGCTCTAATACTTTAATATATGCATTGTCTTTGAAACGGATTTGCCTACACCAGAGACAGCCTTCTTTAGGGCCTAGTCTCACCAGTGTCAGACCAGTGGACGCCAAAAGGCGAACGTGTTTGAACATCTTAACACCTGTTTTATTGTCAGAAAAGCTAAAAGCTATTCTTATTTTTCATTTTAAAAAATCATCTCTGCTTTCATTTATAATTACTGTATCCATATTCCAAGGATCTCCCACTCTGCTTGCACCAGGCTCATTATTTTAATCCACATCTTCTACCTCCACTATTGTCTACAGACTGATTTCCATCCCTTGACATTTAAATGACCATCTCTAGATCAGTACCCTGTCATAAACCCATATCCATCTCTTTCTGTTCATTATTTTGGAGTCTCGTGGAACCTGGTGGTTGCTCGGGCTGTTTATGGCTCGTACATTTGTTATATATTTTTACTTATATTCATCAATAACAGCGTTCATAAAAAAAACATTTGGTGACATTTCGAGCAATGTGCACCAAACAATAAGCAATTGACTGAATTCGGCTAACTGCCTATTCGATTGCTCTTTGAACAGATAACAAGCTACTTGCTGACGTAAATGTACGGTCAAATAACAATTATGAGCAAAACCTCTACATTTGTTGAAAACATGTGTTTAGTTCAACAAACAATTGCAATGATTGATTGTTCAAACGTTAAAGTACTTACCGCATACGTTGATTCGTCCTTTCCAAATACCACAATTCTGACAGACTGAATCGGTGTTTTTGGGTATTTTTTGCTGAAGTCCACCAGTTCGTCAAAAAATATGCATGCTGTGATAGCTCTTGGAAAATTCAGATTACCAGTGCCAATGGCGGGAAAAACGACACTTTGATATTTAGATTTATGGGCCATCTGGAGGCAACTGGAAATTATTTTCCGCAGGACCTTTAAATGAAACACAATATCAATATTTATCCCAAATAAATACAATAAACAGATTTTTTTTTCCAATTTCTGTCAGAAATACACATGGCAGTGTAATATTTAAAAGTTGCCATATTTACCGTTTCACCTATGCTTTCATCCCATTGACAGCAGACAGTTTGATAGACTTCACGACATTTCAATTTGCATTCTTTAATTTTTATAGCTATTACATCTCCATCATCTGCATTTTGTCCTCCTGATATTGCTGTTGTAAGCGTTTGTAACTGTGGACCAGCTTTTTCCAGGAGTGCTGATGAAACTCCTCCATAGCTTAAATCTAAATTATTCGAGACAGTGTTGACAATCACATCCACCTATGATAAAAACAATAAAAGGAAATAAACATTTGTTTAATATTATATAAATCTTCATGTAAGATCAGGGTGGCATCTACATATGCATTATATAACACACACACATTGAATAATTAAGTGATAGTGTAGCGGTTAGCGCGCTATGAACCACACGACCCGAGTTCGATTCCTGCTCACGGCCAACCCTAGTGACGATTATCTGAACCGGTCTGGGCCTCCCCTAGGTCGACTCAGGCTCAAATGAGTGCCTGGTGCGGTGTGTCAACATCGCCACTGGGGAGACAAAGGCGGTCGGGCGTGGTGCTTGGCCACCCACCCACTCGTGTGCTGTGTCGACCATCATAGATAGTGCTCGCTAATAGCACTTGCCTCATAAGTCTGTTCAGGTTATACGGGGGGTCTTTGTCTTTGTTTGACACTTCGAACAAACGTTATACAAATCCACATTTTAAAAAATTTGGTAAAGAATGTCGTTTGAAGACGTGCAAACATTACAACGTGTTTCTACACAACCAGTCTTTGCCAAGTTATGGGCACGAAACAAAAAGTGCTTACGTTGACTGCAAAATTCAAAACTCACGAACGCTAGCATGCTTATTTGCACTACAAAATCAAATGTGTATCTGCATGCTACGAGGACCATATGTCAACCTCGCAACGAGGCATTCATAGAAACGACTGGTCTTGCAACAAGTCATAGTTTATGCCACTGCAGCTATGCTATGATAATGTGTATAGAAAAATATCATTCTGTACATGTGTGACAGGTGTGATTCTGATTTTAATGTTGTGAGTATATTGCCACTCAGATGCCGTCCATAAATGACGTCACGCACCTAGGGGGAGGGGGGGGGGGGCAGACATATGTGACGATGTTTGACGAGGGGGGGGGGGGTTGAGAAATGTGACGTCACATCAAAATGCGCAACTTTAAATAAATATGGAAAGCACGTTCTATTTAATTAAATAGACTTTTTAATAAATGTTTTCTCCAACAACAGCAGAGTGCAACGCCACATTAAATACGCACTACAATGACAATAGTTTAAAGCGATTTGAAGCATGTTTTGTTTGGGGGGGCAGAGCTTTGTGACGTCATATTTGAGGGGGGATCTGACTTTTTGTGACGCCGTGTGACGAGGGAGGGGTGGGGGTAAAAAACCGTCCAAAATCGCGTGATGTCATTTATGGACGGCCCCTAACTCGTAATGAGCGTGTTGGAATTGTGTAATATCGTGAGTAACCCTGGGTCATGATTAGCTCAAGGGAAAAATGAGCGGTCACTGATTCCTCCGCAAGTTAACGTCAGAGACACGCGAGGGGCTGGGGAAGTGGTGATGGTGTTGGTGCTGGCACAAGCGCTGTGGTGACTTCGTGGTGAATGGCGGTTTATATTTTTGTCGTGGCCGAGTCATGATCTGGGAATCACGTTGCAGGCCCTATTCGTATGCTGGCGTGTTGGTGAGTCTTTGCGAATAAATGGGCACCATTGTGGTTCTTCAACATCACCTGGAGGCTCTGTGTATGTGTGTGTGGTGGCTGCCGGATGAGAGACAGCGTGGGGCGCGCTGCAACCCTCGAGTCAAAGTGGGAAAATGCTGGAAAGCAAGAAGAGTACTACCGAACTTTGACAATTTGATTTGATGATAACCGTCCTTGTGTTCCACGTGAAGACCACGGCCAGAAGAACGAGACAATGCACGCAAATATAAGAACATTATGGTGCTCATATATATGCAGCATGTATGTGCACCATGAAGGTGGAAATGTGTTTATTAGGGGCAACTTAAGTAGATGTCAAAAAGCAAGATTTCCCCAGTACTTCCATAAAATGAAGTTATTCGTTAAGATGGGCTGAGTAAATGTGAATGTACTTTGATTTCAGATTACCAATACTCCTGCTTGGGAGCAAATAATGGTCGTCTTTAACTTAGAACATTTCATAAACACATCAAGTGTTAACTATTTGCAGTACTCTTTGGTTCTTTCGGTAAAGTCACGTAGTTAGAAATAGAATGAAACAAATCATGACGTTTCGGGCGCAATACAAGCGTCCGTCATCAGGTAGGACAACCACAGCAAAAAAAAATTGCTGAAATGGGCAAGACAGCTGCCGTGGCAAGAGATTATATAGGTAAGAAAAAGGGGGGAGGAGCAAGGTGGGAGATAGGGGAGGTGTGGGGTAGGGGGTGGGGGGCGCTGCGTGAGCGCTCGGGGGAGACAGGACGTGAGGCCGGGGGGGGGGGAAGTGGGCGGGGCTGGAAGTGGGAGGCTGGGAAAGCTGGGGATGCGGGGGGGGGAAATTAACTCGTGAAAAATAGACTAGTACCCGGCAGATATTTTTTATTTCTACCTACGTGACTTTACCGAAAGAACCAAAGAGTACGGATTCCTGCAGTCACGAAAGCTTCAAATCTGTATGCAGTACTTTTGTATTTATATAAGACAGTAAGATACTGTAATACATGTGTTGTCAAGCAATCCAAGTCACTTTCTGTTGTCTTTGCAGTAATTTCCACAAGGGCTTACCTGCTCATTTTCTATGTTTCCTTTAATCAACTGTATATCCAGGCCTTCAAATGTCTGAAGCAAATTTCGGTTTTGCGGTTGTGCTGGTTTAGTTATTTTTGCGGTTGTGCCCTGGCCAAGACATGTTTTAATGAGAAAAATATTCTGACGAGATCATAAGCATTACGTTGAAATTCTGATTAACTGTTTGGAAACATGTTTAATTTTAGAAAATATAAATTCGCATATAATATAAACAATACGCATATTGTAAATCCGTCCGCCTACGTATCATCCCAAACAATCCTTCAACCAAATAGGCCGATTAAAACTGCGGTATAATTGTAAGCTCTTCATTGAACCGTCTGACGCTTTCGCATTTCTCCACACGTCAACATTAATACTGGCCATCCCCAATCACCTAGTTATATATATTATAAAAATACCCCAAATCATTATTTTGAGAGGGTCACGACACAAGAAGCAACATTACATTTTTAACGGAGCTGAAATGTAGTTAAGTGTAAGGAATTGATTGTTGTATATCGTCTCATTTACTTATAAATTAAATACGTACGTGATTACTCTTAAGTCATTAACGTAGGTTGATATTGCATTAACGTTCTCCAATAGTCCTGTATTAATGTCAGTAGTTCTCGGTACACCTGGTGATAACATTATTTTGTTTCATGCAATTTGGTATAGCTTTGTATTTGCAAAAAAAAATCTGCGACATTTGGATCCTGCATAAAACACATTTTAAAGGTATATTTACTTATTCCAAAATTTGTGCATAAACATAAATTAACTCATACAATGTTTAAATGTGCATATTATTAAAACTATCAAAAAATCTTACCTTTTCTTTACGCTTGTACTCGGCTTGCGAGGAAGATGATTGGAATGTATGTAAACCCGTCTTCTTCAATTTGGTAAAGTCTTTTTCAAAAGTGTTTTTATTTGATATTTTGGGATTATTGAAAGCAGAGCTCAGCTTTGTTTGACCAAAAACTGTTATGAAGCATTCCTTCATCATCATCACAGTGATATCATCATTGTTAACAAGTCGGATATCTTTGAGAGTGGAGGAATCGTTTGCATCCGTCTCACAGAATTCTTTTACTGTTGACAATATTGTTTCGCAACACAGTTGCAAAGGAAATTCAAATATTCCAGAGCTTATTGCTGGTATTGCAATAGATTGATATTCCTTATCTGCAGCCAGACGAAGGCTTTTATGAATCGTTTGTTTCAACGTGTTTATCTTGGTTTCAGCTAAATTAGAGTCCCAATCAGGGCCAATGGCATGAATCAGTGCCTTGCAAGGTAAAGCTCCTGCTTTCGTAAAAACAGCATCTCCTTCCAATAAAATGGAACCTTTATTGCGTACGATTATGTCACTCTCATCCTGAATGATTTTCCCACCTGCATCAAGCAAACTTTTTGCCAGACCACCAACATGATTCAACTGTCTGTTTGCAGCATTCACTACCACGTCTACACAATGATGCTGAAGATCTCCTTTTTGTACAGACACTGTTATTTTATTCAGTGTAATTTGGCATATTAATTGACCAGTGTGAATTTGCAACAAATCTGTGCCTTGTTGGTCTTTAGGCTGATCAATAAGGATTATGCATTTGTGTTTAATTTCTGACATAGTCATAATTACTTTACCTTGTCCACGCAAATACTTGGCAGCGCCTGGTTTTTGAATAGTCACCGTTTTTGAAATAACACGAGCTGATAATTGTTCTAAAATGTTTATGGTTTTTTCTTTGTCCTTTGCTTTCGAACTTATATTGTAGCCATATACGTTTGATGTATGTTTTTGCGATATGACTTTTGAACAATCTGGTAGCTGACTGGCAACGTCACAATATTTGTCAAGGTAAGACAATGCACCTAAAGATTTTAATGGGAAGAAATATGTTACTATTATATTATTTTCAACGAAATCTTTTATTTCCCTTTCAACCGTTTTAATCACATCTCTTAATCCTGTAAGAATAATGTCCTTATCACTTTGAAAAACTCTGTGAATTTGAAATGGGGCCCCTGTTATTCCAACAATCGATAGTTCTTTTTTCTTCTTTATGCCTTCCACAAATTCTTCCCATTCCCTGGACTTTTTTTGCAAATCAAATTCTTCCTTGAGATTAACTTTCATTTGTACAACTAATTCATGAAACAATTTTTCTGCTTTAATTAAATCATCATCACTGGCACCAATAAGTGTAATATCCTTGCCCCTTTCTGACATAGTAGCCCGAATGCCATTTTTACAAAATGCATATTGAATAAATTCTTCATTATTTAACTGCATTAAAAATGTTTTTATATCTTGAGAAATGTCCAAAATCTTTTCAGAACATTGTATTACAACTTCCATAATTTTAGATTTAACCTCATTGGCACTGTCTTTTGGTCCTTCTATTAGTATTTTATTCTTATCCAGATCGAAATTTATGACGGTACCTGGGAACTCTTGCATAATTTGTTTTTCAAGCCCATGTATTTTAAATAAATCTAAATGACATTTCCTCATAGTAACTTCTGATATCTTTAGATTTTCGATTCGTTGCATCTCTAAACGTATGTCATCATGTAATTTGTAAAGTTTTCCTTGAAACAATTCAACATCGTCTTTCAGACCAACTAACATTATATGAAAATTTGTCTTGTCAGGAATGATCTGAATCCTTTCCTGCAGACTTGGAGAAGCTTTTTCAACAATGGCCTCAAATGTATTATCATTAAACGTTTCTGAGCAATGCTTGTATTTGTTGAAAAACTCTATACATTCCTTTGCCACAGACTTTGACCAACATCTCCTCAGCTTGTAGCAGATGACTTGATTATCAGCATATGCAGGTACAATCTTCATTACATCTTTAGCAGACCCAACAGGCCACAGAAAGCTGGCCTGGTGTGTTTTTAATTGCTCTTGAAGCTTGGCGGAGTCCTCAGGGTGTAAAGAAATGAATTCCATCAAAATAGGATCTACTTTTAATTCATGTGGTTCCAGGCCCTGGGTACCCCTTTCATCCTCTGTGAGTATGAATAAACCATTCGACTCGTAAAAACGATGGACTATTAACTGATTTTGTTTCAACTTAAGATTTCCCTTAATGAGTTTTTCAGCATCTGCATGAGAAGTGGAGAGGGGGGGAGGGTATATTAACATTAGTGTGTGCCTGCGTTTGCAAGAGTTAATTATGTTGTTGCATGATTACATGCCTCCATCAAAGAGTCTTGATTTCCCAAATACAGTACTTTAAGCTACATTAAATGTGCATGTTAAACTGAGATATATAAGTACCATGGTATTTAATAATTCTGCATAAATTATGACAATATCCTCAGCTAGAGTTGAAGAAAACCAACTCAAAATAAGAGATACAATCTATATGTACTGAAAGGGCATAAATAAGTACAATTTTGGAAACATTCCACAGGGCAATGCATTAACGGTCTGGGGTCTCACTAACATGGCCACCTCTGCTCCCTTAGCCTCGATGTATCGATGGTTCTTACTGTTTTATGGGATGTGTGTCTCACTGGCATGGCCAATGTTGTGGTGGTTCTCTTGCATTGACGCGCTTGCCTCGTGGAGGCCGCTCTCCGATCTTAAATTAACATGCTAATCTCTAACATTAACATAGCCACCTCCGTGCCCTCGTCGTGGAGGTCGCCCTCCGATCTTACATTAACATGCTAATTTCTTACATTAACATCACTAGCCCCACCTACTTCGTTTATGACCCTTGGGGTACACCCATTTTAAACATTTTAAAACAGTCTGCCTCAGCAGCTGTCCCCCTCTTTTTTCTTCCTGATGACGAACGCTTGTGTTGCGATCGAAACGTTGTGATATATTATTTTTATTTTATCTTCTACCTCCGTGACTTTACCAAAAGAACCAAAGAGAATGGATTCCTGCAGTCATGAAAGCTTCAAATCAAGATAATTTAAAAGGTAAAAATCTTATTCATTTACAGCCTCTGTTGACTTAATTTTAGAAGGTTGTGAACTAGTCTGCTTGAAAGTTTGTTGGATACTAGCGGGAAGTACCCGGCGTTGCCCGGGCGAAAAAAGATACACACACACATCGACTTTGACACAGACATTGACCCACACACATAGAAACACGTAGACTTACACACACATGGACTCACACACACAGACATCGACTTTAGACACACACACATGGAGTTACACACACACAGCGACTCACACACACACATAGGACTTACACACACATTTCTACTCACACACATCCATAGACTTGAATACACATGGACCCACACACACACATATGTAGAGGTGTTACGGGAGGGCGAACAAACACACCAGGGGTGGTTATGCCCGCACACGGAAGGATGCTTACATCCACGTCCGCACCGTTCAGCCTGGGGGGCTAAAACGGCGTTGTGATCCCCCACGGCCCCACCCCTCGGTGGGGGAGTTTCTATATAAGGCGGTGAGCCGGTGGGCTCGGGGTTCAGTGTTTAACTTTAACCAGTGAAGAAGGAAGACCGGCTAGATAGGCCCTGGGACTCCCCTGGATCGCTGTCCTTCTAAGGACCGACCAGGGCAAGCCAGTGGCGTGGCCCCGAGAGCCCAGAGCCAATGCTCTTGTAAGAGCCGGTCTGGGGACTCAGGGTGCCGTGATCCCAGCTTGGCCAGAGCGGGATCAGCTAGCCTCCTCTAGCTCTGTAGTGGAGGACCTGGGAGTAGGCTAGCCGGGATAGAGATCGTGGGATCTCGCTGTTAGACGGTTGAAGGGGCCGATACCCCTTCGAGTGTTGTATACCTTGGCCTGTATAGAGTGGAACGTTTAATAAATAAGTGTGCCTCCGACTACGTCGTCCAAGTCTCTTTGAACCTACTACAACTCGAGTCAGAAGTGGTCTTCTAAAGATGGACACAAGACGGACGGCTCGTGCCAAGGAACCTAGGGAGGAGGACACCTCGGCCGACTCAGAGCCTGAACTCGCCGAGGGCGGGTTCGAGCAACCGGGGCCGAGTTCACCGATACCGCAGCAGCCGGACGGGTGGGGACCATCGGCTGACGGGCTGCGGGTGGCTCACTCCCGCCTGGCGGAGCTACTCTACGCGTCAGCCGCCACGCTGGAGGAAATCACTCGCCTGGGGGTTGGAGGAGCAGCACGGGGCGACGTCGGACGACACACAACGCCAGTTCCCGCCATTTCAACGGGGTTGGAGGTTGGATTTGCCGCCATCAGTACAGTGGGTGCTGAGGGCGGGGCCGGGCCACATCATGTGACCGACAGTCACCGACCAGAACCTGCCACGTCATCAACAGCGGCCGACGGCGGCGAACGCCAATCAGCAGCCAGCGCGTCACCAGCGGTGCGACCGCTGATGCCGTCCGCCGTTCCCGCCGATACTGTACAGATTGGCGGGAACGACAGTTGGCGATCTACGGCTGCGGAGGCCTCGTTCCAGCAACGATTGCCGGTCCTCAAAGAGTTTGTGGTGGAAGACGGCGACTGGGGAGCCTTCCAAAGACGTTTCCTCGCCCACCAAGAAATGTCGCGATGGACGGACGACGAGGCGCTACACGCGCTGCCGGCGACGCTGGACAGTGACGCCCTCGCTACCCTCACCACGGCGCCAAGATCGGCGCGCGCCACGCTGCAGGCGGCGCTTCGACTCCTGTCTGCAGTCTACGGACCACCTTCTGACTGCAGACAGCTGTTTTATGATCGTCAGCGGGGCGCCAAGGAATCGCCCCTGGCATACCGCACAGCTCTCCTGGCCCTGGCGAAGACGGCTTTCCCGCGGATGGACGAAGGGGTGGACGCTATGGTGGCTGAGAAGATATTGCTGTTGGCGGACGATTTGGACATCGTCATCTTGGCGCAAGACGACAAGGAGATGTGTTCCCTGCAGGCCGCATGGCACATCCACGCAAATTTGCTGTCCCAGCGTCGCAAGGCCAGCAAGGTGGCGGCCAGGCATACCGTGGCTGCAACCACCCTCCCATCGGAAGAGGTCTGCGCTGTGGGTCGCCCGACGGAGTGGAGATCCGGGGGCCGGCCAGCTCGGGACGGGCCGAGCCACCAGGATCAACCCAAGCCGTCTGGGGCGCTCACACGGTGCTACAACTGTGGCCTCCGGGGCCATGTGGCTTCGGGATGCCAGGCTCCTCGACAGTGCTGTGGAACGCCTCGGCCGGACGACGTGCCTCTACCCAAGGCTCCGCAGCGAACTCCGGTGTACCAGGATTGACGTGCTCGCGACTGCCAACCCCTCCCGGGGGGGTCGGGGGTTGCTCGTCGGCGATGCCAGACACTCTCGCACCCGAACTATTGACACCCACAGCTGGGCCGGCCGGGGCTGCCCCTTGTGATGGTCCCGCTGCAAGAACGCGCGCCAAAACGTGCAGACTTTTGTGAGGTCGGCCGCTTGTGCTGCCCTGGCTGGGGTCGCGGGGTGGGGGGACTTGTAAATTGTACATATGTTGTTCTTTACAGGATGGGGTATTTATTGGGGGGGGTGCGTCGGGTTATTTTTCTCTCTCTCGGTTGTTGTTGTTGTTGATGTTGTTGTTGTTGATGTTGTTTTTTTTACGCGAGGCACACACGGGCTCGGGGGGGGGATGCATCTTTATTGTGGATTTTGTTGCAGCCGGGACGGCTGTGGGCTGTACAGGGGGGGTGATGTAGAGGTGTTACGGGAGGGCGAACAAACACACCAGGGGTGGTTATGCCCGCACACGGAAGGGTGCTTACATCCACGTCTGCACCGTTCAGCCTGGGGGGCTGAAACGGCGCTGTGATCCCCCACGGCCCCACCCCTCGGTGGGGGAGTTGCTATATAAGGCGGTGAGCCGGTGGGCTCGGGGTTCAGTGTTTAGCTTTAACCAGTGAAGAAGGAAGACTGGCTAGATAGGCCCTGGGACTCCCCTGGATCGCTGTCCTTCTAAGGACCGGCCAGGGCAAGCCAGCTCTGTAGTGGAAGACCTGGGAGTAGGCTAGCCGGGATAGAGATCGTGGGATCTCCCTGTTAGACGGGTGAAGGGGCCGATACCCCTTCGAGTGTTGTATACCTTGGCCTGTATAGAGTGGAACGTTTAATAAATAAGTGTGCCTCCGACTACGTCTTCCAAGTCTCTTTGAACCTACTACACATACATAGACTCATACACACATGGACCTACACACACATATGGACTTACACACACACATAGAGTTACAGACGCACATATCGATGCACACACACACGTACACACACATCGGCGTACACATATGGACTGACACACACACATGGACTTACACATGTACGTACATACACACACACATGAACTCACACACGTGGACCTACACACACAAAGAAATGGACTTACACTGACTCACATGGAGCCATGCACACACAGCGACTAACACACACACTTCGATTGGCACACACACACACACATATCGACTCACACACACAAACACATTGACTCACACACACACATCGACTACACACACACATCGCCGTAGACATGCACATCGACTTACACGCAAACATGGACTTAGACACACACATTATTATTGTACATTTAAGTAACTTATTTAAAAATTATTAGTTGTCTACACACACCACGCACACACATTGACAAACACACACACATCGACTTACGCATACACACATCGACGGTATGCACTGCTATTACTACAGCAGTGCATACCAACTGTGGTGGTTCTCTCCAGCGTGGCCGGCCACACCCCGGCCACGCCCCCCTTCTCGAACCCTCGAGAAGGCTCCGGATCCCCACCACGTGACCCCCAGGGTCCCCCCTGGACCCTGGCCCCCACCTTGATCCGGTCATGTGACGTCGTGTGTGTACAAACCCGACATGGTAGTGACATCATGTGTGTGCAGACCCGACATAGTAGTGACGTCATATGTCACTACATCACCCCCCCCCCCTCCCGTGTAACATACAGCCGTACCGGCAGTGACCATATCAAACCAAAACCTGTGTGCCTTCAAATGAAACAGAACGTCAATAAATAACCGGCGAGCAACAACAAGTTACGCGAGCAACATATGTACACCGCGGACGAAAGTGAAAAAAACCAACATGAACCATCACAACGGTGAATCACAACACAAACCCGCACATGAACTGT